TTTGGTTTTGTTCATCCCAGAATGGCCATTTGGATGATCGTGGGCTAAGCTTAATAGCTTTACCTGGTACTTAGGTGGATGCCAGTCTTCCTGGTGTCCACCAGAAAGAGTTTTCTTGTATAAAAGTCCTCTTTCTACAACAAACCTGGATCGATTAGAAGAGCTGAGAGGCGGTGGGTTGCTTTGTGCCGTCGTCCAAGCTCTCTGGAGGCTTTCATCTGCTTCCTGTTCGGTCTGGAACTGTTCCTTTGATGCTGTAGACATCAATTCCTCATTGGATTGTGGACCTGGGCTTGGTCCCTCTGGAAGCGATGCAGGTGATGGGACTGTTTCCGTTGACTGTGAACTGCTCTCTGCTGGTGCACTATGTTGGGGTTCAGGCTCCGGCTGAGCCTCTTGTATAGGGTTATCTGCTGCTGCTGGTGCAGGTTCAGTGGGGCCCTCTGGTGTTGGGGTTGCAAGTACTGGATTCAGTGCTGGCAACGGTTCTGGTGCTGGTTGTTCCGCCGGTTCCGGTTCTGAGACTGGCTCTGTCTAGGTCTCTGTGACTGGATCCACTGCTGCTGTTGCAGATGTTGGCATGGGGTCTGGTTCCATCACCTGTGACCGGGTCCTGGTAGAAGTTTCCTGAACAGAGCTAGGTGTGACAGCTTGCTTATCCTGGCTGCGGGTGACCATTTCCACCCTCTTGGCTAGCTTCACATGATTGGCCAAGTCTTCCCCCAATAGCATGGGGATGGGATAATCATCAAAGACTGCAAAAGTCCACGTTCCTGACCAGCCCTTGTAGTGGACAGGCAACTTGGCTGTAGGCAAGTCAAAAGAGTTTGACTTGAAGGGTTGAATTGTCACTTGGACCTCTGGGTCGATTAAATTGAGGTCCACTAAAGAAGCATGGATTGCTGACACTTGTGCTCCAGTGTCCCTCCACATGATGACCTTCTTCTCGCCCACACTCACCGTTTGCCCCCGCTCTGAAGGTATTTGGGAGGTATCTGGGCCTGAGGACCTCTGGTGTGATTTCGGTGCAATGAACTGTAATCTGTTGGGGTTCTTGGGGCAGTTAGCCTTTATATAATGAGGCCCCGGCTCGTTACGTTTAAAACATGGTCCAGCTGACAAGTCACTGGGCCGAGGTAGGTTGCTGGAGAATGGTGTGGCAGGATGATAAGGTGTCTGGAGTGTTCCTTGGGGTGTAGTTGGGGCCTTGGGCTGCCCCTGGTAGTAGGGTGTGGTCTGAGGGTGTCCCTTCTGGTGTCCGCCCCAACTGCGACCAGGGTTGTTCCTCTCTCCTCCCTTCACCCGTTTTGTTCCGGCTTGCCCCGCCTCTCTGGCAGTCTGGGACTGCTTGTATTGATCAGCATAAGAAGCAAGACTTTCTGCTGAGTCCATTTTCTTATCCCATAAACACTGTTTTATATCCTCCTTAGATATATTCAGGAATTGCTCCTGAGTCATTAAATCACACATTCCTTCAAAGCTAGTTACACCCCTTCCTTTGACCCATTTATCTAACAGATCTGTCATCTGGTTTACATAAACCACATTACTTAATCCAGGTCCTCTCTTAAGGGCTCTAAATTTCAGGTGTAACTTGAAATTGTTTTACCCGTCTTTCATGTTCCCTTTGTTTTTCCTCAGCCTCAAATCTGGCTAATTCCAGCTTCTGTTGAACAGTGCAGTCTGTCATCTTAACCTCTCTGTTTTTAACTAACTTTACGCCTGAGAGTTAGAAAGAAAAGAAAAGAAAAGAAAACAAAACAAAAACTGGCTTGTAAAATTTTGCTGTGCTGTAACCTGATATCTTTTTCTCTGATAGCTGTTCTCAGCCTACAGAAAAGTCCTTTTGTAATGCCTGCTGCTCTGTCCCCCAGGCAGAGAGAAAGACTCTGTGACTGCAATCACCTTTTACAAAACCTTTTAAAATCCTACTGTGCTTCTGGTGCAAAATGATCCCACCACTCTGCCACCATGTCAAGGTTCCTTCCCCACTCTGAACTCTAGGGTACAGATGTGGGGACATGCATGAAAGACCCCCTAAGCTTATTCTTACCAGCTTAGGTTAAAAACTTCCCCGAGGTACAAACTTTGCCTTGTCCTTGAACAGTATGCTGCCACCACCAAGCGTTTTAAACAAAGAACAGGGAAAGAGACCACTTGGAGATGTCTTCCCCCAAAATATCCCCCCAAGCCCTACACCTGCTTTCCTGGGGAAGGCTTGATAAGAATCCTCACCAATTTGTACAGGTGAACACAGACCCAAACCCTTGGATTTTAGGAACAATGAAAAATCAATTAGGTTCTTAAAAGAAGAATTTTAATTAAAGAAAAGGTAAAAGAATCAGCTCTATAAAATCAGGATGGGAAATACCTTACAGGGTAATCAGATTCAGAACACAGAGAATCCCTCTAGGCAAAAACCTTAAGTTACAAAAAGACACAAAAACAGGAATATACATTCCATCCAGCATAGCTTATTTTACCAGCCATTAAACAAAAGGAAATCTAATGCATTTCTAGCTATATTACTTACTAATTTAACAGGAGTTGTAAGGCTGCATTCCTGATCTGTTCCCGGCAAAAGCATCCACAGACAAACTGTTTGTTCCCCCCTCCAGATTTGAAAGTATCTTGTCCCCTCATTGGTCATTTTGGTCAGGTGCCAGCGAGGTTATCTTAGCTTCTTAACCCTTTACAGGTGAAAGGGTTTTGCCTTTGGCCAGGAGGGATTTTATAGCACTGTATACAGAAAGGTGGTTACCCTTCCCTTTATATTTATGACACCCCCACTGTGCAGGGCACTGCACAGAGTTATAGACAATCTCTGTCCTGGAGCACTTCCTGTTGAAATAGACCAGACTGCCCCCCAGGGAGGCTGGAGGGGGTGTAACTGACGAGCAGAGTGATGATTTCAAATGTCATGTTAGTGCTAGGAGCCAACTGCACCTGAATTTCCTCTTCATGGGCACCCACCCAAGGCTCCCGGCTTCTCAGCCATCACTTCTCTTGGGTGCAGACTCGCATCTCTCTCTCCTTCCCTCCAGACCAGGGTTGTTCCAGGCTGCACAGTCCCCTGCCTACACTAGTTCCCCAGCAAGCCAGACGGCCTAACCCGGCCAGTGTCTGCACTTTGCTTACTCCCTTCAAAGGCTAGGAACAAAGGAACTGCCCACAGTGATAAGCTACCACCTAGCTTTCTAAGAAAACACGTTTATTCCTAAGGTGAAACAATAAAAGAACCCCCAGAGTTCACCCCAGCTCCAACAAGGGCTCTGCTAGGAGTCAGCCCTTCAGACCCCACTAATGGAGTTTTCTGTGATCATGAGTTCATAGCAGCTTGTGCTCTGAACAAGAACACACATGCCTAGGTCAGCCTTTCCTTTCAGAGTCTCTGGGAAGGTATTGGGTCTCTCCTCAGGGTGTATCTTCAAAAGAGTGGGTCCTGAGGTGGAATTTGCATATCTCCCCCTTCCTCTCCCCCCAGGTATTTCCTAGGAAACCCACTTAACTTTGTTTGTCCCAAAAGTTCCTTCTTGTCTGGCACATTGCTTCAAACAATCATTCTATGCTCAGAACACTGGTCACATCTCCCCCAGAGAAGTCACAGGCAATCCCTCAAGAATACATAAACTTGGCCTCCAAAACTATTTAAACTAAATTCAAGATCTCCCAACAATCTTGCAGGAAATTGCTGTGTCTGTCCCAGGGGGGATTCACTAGACAGGGAGACAAAGGGAGGGAGTGGGGCAGTGGGAGGCAGTTGGGGTGAGGGGGGCAGGCGAGGAGCACACTGGGCAGGGGGAGTGAAACTGGGCGGGAAGGGTTGGAGCCAGCCAGTCAGTACAGGGGTGAGAATAGCAAGAGTCAAATCTGTCTGGTGCCAGGATCTCTGTTTCTCTGGCTGTCCCTCGCTGGAATTTTTCTTCTCCAGAGTTGACCACATGTTTCGGGGGAAGAGGGCACTGCCTGGTCCTAGTGCCCCCCCCAACAGGAGGGTGTAGGGGGGGTGTCACCATTCCACAGCTGTGGGGCCAGCAGGTGTGTGAGGTGGCCCCAGCTGAGGGTCCCTCTGATGCTGCAGTCCCTGTTGCAGCTGCCCTGCTCCCCTGTTATTTGATTGGGTTTTTCACACAACATCAGGGGAGAGAAAAACCCTTCGTAGAACAGGGGACTGCAACACCCACACAAGCTGGCCGGAGGAGGTGGGTACCAGTCTACATAGTGCAGTAGCACCTAGGAGCCTGAGCCATGGAGCAGAACCTCACTGTGCCAGGTGCTGCATGGACCCGCAGCCCCAAACAGCTCACAAGCAGACGCAGAAACTGCTTTAAACTCCTCACGTGGGACTGACTTGGGGGCCTGTCTCTTCCAGCCGGTTTGTCCAGGTTCAGCCGCATCGCTGCAGCTAGGCTGGTGCACGCAGAGGTGGATTAAGGTTTCCTGGGGCCCTAGGCCAGAGCAAGTAGCCCCACCCACAGCCCCAAACCTTTCTGCCCCTTCCCTGGGCGTGCCGCCCCTGTTCCACCCAGGGTCCCCCCTATTCGGCCCCCCAGTGCAGACTCATAACCCTTTTTGCTCCTTTCTGCCCACCCTACGGTGGCCCCAAGACTGGAGAAGCTCTGTCCCTGTGCCACCCTGGGGCACAGCGGGGAGTGAGGGCTCCTTCAGTCCCAGGGCCCCAGCAGGGGTCCAGATGCTGGGGCTTCCCCCACCCCCCCTCTGCGCTTCTCGGGGGACCAGGGTTGGGCACAGGGGCTTCCTTTGCTGCCCCCCGGCTTCTGCTGGGGATGGATGGCAGGTGCTGGGGCTTCCGCCACCTGGGGATATCTGCTGGGGGTGGGGTCGGGAGTTACTGGGGGGGCTTCCCCCATCCCGCAGTTGCTGCCAGAGATGGGTCAGGGGCCACTCAGGGTTTCTGGGGGGCTCCTAGTTGGCCCTGGGCATGGGCCCCATCAGCCCACTGGCTAATCCGCTATTGGGTGTACGCCTCTGGTGCATAGTCCGCAGCGGGCCTTCTCCTGGGGTGGGCTATCAGGTGTAGCCACACCTGCACAAAGTCCCTAATGCACACAGGCCCTGGGCTTCACACTGCCGGTGGTCCCTTCCCTGGCGGTCTGCGGAGCAGGCTGAGCTGTCGGGTAGATTCTGCCCTAGAACCATAGAATCATAGAATATCAGGGTTGGAAGGGACCTCAGGAGGTCATCTAGTCCAACCCCCAGCTCAAAGCAGGACCAATTCCCAGTTAAATCATCCCAGCCAGGGCTTTGTCAAGCCTGACCTTAAAAACTTCTAAGGAAGGAGATTCTACCACCTCCCTAGGTAACGCATTCCAGTGTTTCACCACCCTCCTAGTGAAAAAGTTTTTCCTAATATCCAACCTAAACCTCCCCCACTGCAACTTGAGACCATTACTCTTTGTCCTGTCCTCTTCTACCACTGAGAATAGTCTAGAACCATCCTCTCTGGAACCACCTCTCAGGTAGTTGAAAGCAGCTATCAAATCCCCCCTCATTCTTCTCTTCTGCAGACTAAACAATCCCAGTTCCCTCAGCCTCTCCTCATAACTCATGTGTTCCAGACCCCTAATCATTTTTGTTGCCCTTCCCTGGACTCTCTCCAATTTATCCACATCCTTCTTGTAGTGTGGGGCCCAAAACTGGACACAGTACTCCAGATGAGGCCTCACCAATGTCGAATAGAGGGGGACAATCACGTCCCTCGATCTGCTCGCTATGCCCCTACTTATACATCCCAAAATGCCATTGGCCTTCTTGGCAACAAGGGCACACTGCTGACTCATATCCAGCTTCTCGTCCACTGTCACCCCTAGAAAGGAGACAAAATGTTGTTTCCGGAGCTTTGCAATTTACGAGGCTTCTCTTGGGTAACTGGCTGGGGGCATTTCCTACCTCAGACTCAGGGGAGATTTCCCAAGGCACCCTGGCAGTCGAGCATCCATCGAATGTCAATGGGATGTTGGAGCCTCCCCTGGAAACTCTTCTGTTTTCCTGGGGCTCATCCAAGGATGGCATTGTCTGAGGCATCGTCTACACTAGAAAAACTTTGCCTCCGTAGCTATCCTGGCGAGCCCTCCTAGTATCTGTAGGAAGACAAATGAGCCACTGGCTCGTGGCTTCTTAGCAGGTTCCTCCAGGCAACCAGCTCAGCTGGAGAGCTAAGAAATCGGAGGCTGCTGGCCAGCAATACGAAGAGCTGCCACCCACAGGTGGATAAGGAGCAACACCCACTAGCTACCCGGGGAATCACAAAGCCTGGCCCGGAGAGAAGGAAAACGCCAGAGGCCAGACCAGACTCATGCACAGCAGCCCCCCTTTGGCTGACGTCGGTTACAGCCCCCTGAGGGAACAATGCAGACAGAGGGGGAAGTTTTCCATACCTCAGCCCCACGGCTGGCTGTTCATTCCAGAGGTGCCACCGAGTCAGGAACTGGGGGCTTCCCGACTGGGGGCTTCCCACGGCCCTTGTGGGTTTGTTCCCAGAAGCAAGGAAAGAACTCCTGCCGGACTTTAAACTTTAACACCCTGAGTCTTTAGATGGGGAGCTGATTTCTCTAGCCTACATTGCCAAATTCACCCTGTTTTCACAGTTACCCTTGGGCACCAGATTAGCTGAGCAAATGATCTCGAGCGCGAGCTTCACCTAGTGATCAGTGCAGGAAGCAGCGCATTAGGACTCCTGGGTTCTAGTCCCAGAGGTGCCACTTTGGTAAAAGAGATTGCTACAAGAAGTCACTCCAGGAAATCCTGTGGCTGGATTTTACTTATTAAAGGCCTGGATAATTTTATTACCTCTAGTCACATTTCAGCTGTGATGGCAGTGAGCAAACATCATGCTCCAGGGAACAGGCAGGTTATCTGTAGGGCTTGGGCAGGCAGGACGCCTCAGTTTACCCTGCTATAAAATCATTTTAATAATACCTACTTCCCAAGGCAATAAAGAGGTTATAGCCCCGGCTACAGTTAAAATTGAGGTCGACTGACACACCTATGTCACTCAGGAGTGTGAAAAATCCACCCCGAATGCTGTAGCTATGCTGACATACAGCTAGGTCAATGGAGGAATGCATCCATCAATCCAGCTACCATCCCTTGGGGAGGTGGAGTTCCTACAAAATCAGAAAAACCCCTTCCTTCACTGTGGGCTGCATCTAGACTCTACACAATGGCGTTATGCCACTGTACACCCCATAGGGTAGACATGGCCTTAGTTAATTGTTTATAAAGTGCTTTAAATTAACAGCTTTGCATTCTGCAGGCCAAGGGAAGTTTCTCTCTAATTTCTCTTTAGTTTTGTTCCCTAGAAGCTATATTTGTCAGACCACTGTTTTGTTTTCACTTCCTTCTAGGTTCACTGATTCAAGAGCCTTCCTCACATGACCGACGGAAACTTTGAGCTGGCTGATGCAAGAGCTTGACGAACTTCTTTGGTAACCATGGGGGAGTTTCTGCAAAAGTCATAAGACCTGGTGGTAATGGGAATTGTTTGCTCAATGACTCAGTGGCTCAGTCAGCTGCCCTGCAGAGCCTCCAAGAAGTCAACCTGGCAGAACACAGGTAAACTAATATAAAAAAACCTGGTAATGTGTGGCTATTTTGAGCTTCACTATAGCAGCTGGCAAGAGAACCCAGATTAGGAGTCACAGCCATTTGAGCTAAAGGAGAATCTCTGTTAGTGGTATAGGGCCTATGACATGCATCTGAGCAGTTCTGATTCCACACAACACAAGGCAGTGGTGCATACACGCACTGTTGGGCGCTTTACCATATGTTGCACGTCTGAAGGACTTTCCACCTGACAGGCTCAAAGAGCTTTACAAATATGAACTAATTAAGCCTGAATGCAGCATGTACGATTGCCTGCCTTACAGGCAGGTGGAGTATGTGTGTATTCAGCACAAACAGCTCCTGGGCTCTGGAGACCAGAGTGACTGAACTGGAGGAGCTAAGGGACACAGCCCAGGCTTTCCGGGACACAGCAGAGCGGGCCCAGCCCCAGTCTGGCAGCTTCTGTGCTACTGGGAAGGGTGAAAGTCTAGGGGAAGGAGAACAGATGGAAACTGAGTCCTGTAGTTGGGACCCTCTTTCCAGAAGACGTCGTGGTATCCTCTCACACGGGAAGGGGACCCTGTTGTTAGGAAGAGACAGGAGACAGTAATGGGGGGTTGGTTATTAGAAGTATAGAGAGTTGGGTTGTGGTGACCGGGAGAACCACATGGTGAATTGCCGGCTGGGTGCAAATGTTGTGGATCTCTCGAGCCATCTAGACAGACGTCTGGGCAGTGCTGGGGAGTAGCCAGTGGTCGTGGTACATGTAGGTACCAGTGACTTAGGAAAAGGCAGGAGGGAGGTCCTGGAGGCCAAATTTAGGCTGCTAGGTCAGAGATTCGAGTCCAAACCCTCCCTGGGAGCATTCTCTGAAATAGCACAGGGCCAGTAAGACAGACAGAACTCCAGGGCCCCAACGCGGGGATGAGACGATGGTGCTGGGAGGAGGGTTTAGGTTTGTTAGGACCTGGGGAACCATGTGGGGAAAGAGGAGCATGTACAGGAAGGATGGGCTCCACCGAAGCCAAAACAGAACCAGATTGCTGGCATGGAAAATTCAAAAGTTCATTGAGGAGGGAGAAAGCTGAGAGGTGCGGAGGAGCAACGGTTCAGAGACATCCCTTAGGGGAGGATTTATTAAAGGGGATTCTCTATATCCTAGCAGAGAGGAGGGGATAGAGGTTGGTAAAGTGCATGTAGGAACTGCAGAGAAACAGTCAAATGAAAAAGAGTCCCATTCAATTACATCACATGAAGGAAGCCAACTAAATAGCGACAAATGTTATAAGTGCTTATACACAAACGCTAGAAGTCTAAATATTAAAATGGCTGAACTTGAGCACCTGGTATTAAATGAGGCTACTGATTTAGGAGGCATCACAGAAAATTGGTGGAAGGATGATAATCGGGACACGGTAATACCTGGGGACGAAATATACAGGAATGACCGAGTCGCTGTGTTGGCGGGCGAGCGGCACTGTATGTGAAAGAAAGCACAGAGTCAAAGATAGTGAAAATCTTAACGGAATCAGGCGGTACCAGAGAATCTCTGTGGATAGAAATTCCACGTGTGAATAATAAAAGTAAAGCAGTAGGAATGTATTACCGACCCCCTGACGAGGAGGGTGAGCGTGCCTGGGACAGGCTCAGGGAGATTAGAGAGGCTACAGAAACAGAAAGCCCAGTAATAATGGGGGATTTCATCAATCCCCATACTGACTGGGTACATGTCACCACAGGACAGGGTGCAGAGATAAATTTGTAGACACCGTTAATGACCGCTTCTTGGAGCAGCTAGTCCCGGAATCCACCTGGGGAGATTCTTGATTTAGTCCTAAGCGGTGCATAAGACAGTGACCATAATGTAATTAAATTTAACACCCTTGTAAGGGGGAAAGTACTGAGAAAACCCATCACAGGAGCATTTAACTTCAAAAACGTAACCAGCACCAAAATGAAGAAGCAAGTTAAACGGATATTAAAAGGAACAGTCACAAGAGTGAAATGCCTGCAAGCTGCATGGAAACTAATTAAAAACAGCATAATAGTGGCTCAAACTAAATGTATACCCCAAATAAAAAAAAAAACCAATAAGAGGACCAAAAAATGTCACCAAGGCTGAACAATAGAGTAAAAGAAGCAATTCGAGGCAAAAAGGCATCCTTTCAAAATTGGAAGCCCATTGCTACTGAGGAAAATGGAAAGAAGCATAAATATTGCAAGGCAAGTGTAAAAGTCTGTAACCCTTCTGCCCGTCAGAGTTGGCAGCAACAAGGGCCGGGTTCAGGATCTAGGGGTTCCATTCCAATAACACAATGCAAAACCGGCTCGAGCCCCCACCCAGTGACCTGGGACAAATATATACCACCCCCGCTGGGCGCCTCCAAGAGGCAGTACTTCCCCTCTCGCAAGCACAGAGTCTGAGTGTAGCAAAAAGCCTTTTAATAACAGAGAGAAACCACGTGGCGTTATGTTGGGGAACCACCACCGACAGGATTCATAACAGTTTATTCCTGACCCAGTAACAGAGAAACTGGGGCTCCTACAGCAGCCAAAGTGACCGTCGAGGCGGGGGGTGGGTGCCAATGAGGTCAGCCCTGAAGTTCTTTTCCACAACCCACCACGACTGGCCACCAGATGTCCGGGTAGAGCTCATCCTGGTTCTGCTTACAGGTATAATTAGGCAGGCCAAAAACAAAACAAAACAAAAAGTAAAGCACAACTAGCAAAAGACACAAAAATTAACAGCAAAAATGTTTTTAAGTACATGCAAAGCAGGAAGCTGCCAAACCACCAGTGGGGCCACTGGACGATGGAGATGCTAAAGGAGCACTGAAGGAAGACAAGGCCGTTGCGGAGAAGCTAAAGGAATTCTTTGCATCGGTTTTCACGGCAGAGGAAGAGGGAGATTCCCACACCTGAGCCATTCTTTTTTAGGTGACAAATCTGAGGAACTGTCCCAGATTGAGGAGTCAATAGAGGAGGTTTTGGAACAAATTGATAAACTAAATGGCGATAAGTCACCAGGACCAGGTGTGAATCACCCAAGAGTTCTGAAGAAATTCAAAATGATGAAACTATTAACTGTGGTATGTAACCTGTTGCTTAAATCAGCCTCTGTGCCAGGTGACTGTAATGTAAAGCCGATTGTTTAAAAAGGCTCCAGAGGTGATCCCAGCAATTACAGGCTGGTAAGTCTGACTTCAGTACGAGGCAAACTGGAGCAAAGTACAGAATTATCAGATGAACATGATAGGTTGGGGAAGAGTCAATGTGGCTTTTGTAAAGGGAAATCCTGCCTCACCAATCTATTAGAATTCTTTGAGGGGATCAACAACCATGTGGACAAGGGTGATCCAGTGGATATAGTGGACTTGAACTTTCAGGAAGTCTTTGACAAGGTCCCTCACCAAAGGCTCTTAAGCAAACTAAGCAGTCATGGGATAAGAGGGAAGGTCCTCTCAGGGATCAGTAGCAGGTTGAAAGACAGGATACCCAGAGTAGGAATAAATGGTCAGTTTTCACAGTGGAGAGAAGCAAATAGCGGGGTCCCCCAAGGATCTGTACTGGGACCTGTGCTGTTCAACATATTCATAAATGATCTATGAAAAGGGGTAAACAATCAGGTGGCAAAATTTACAGATGATACAAAATTACTCAGGACAGTTAAGTCCAGAGCAGACTGTGAAGAGCTACAAAGGGATCTCACAAGACTGGGTGACTGGGCAACAAAATGGCAGCTGAAAATCAATGTTGATAAATGCAAGTGTAAGTGGGGAATAGTCCCGCTATTGTGGGGAACTTTCCTGGCTTCTGCACTACCCCCGTGAAGTGGGCTAGCGAAAGGATCTGAGTCCTCGCTCCCGCTTCCTTTACCCAGTGGCCTCCCTGCCCTTGAGGACTCCCCTTCCCCTCTCCTCTCTGGCAGAGTCCTCGTAACCCCAACAAGGCTGGGCCCAGGATTCCTGGGGGGCTCGACCCCCAACCCTGCTGCGGTCACCTAGGACAGGGGCTAGGGTGTCCCCACTCCGGGGTACTCTCTCTGCCCTGGGCACTTCTCTGACCCACTGACCATTACATACAAGTTAAAGCAAATGCAAGTTATTTAAAAAACAATTAATTTTAAAAAGAATAAGGAAACATGGGAAAGGTTAAAGGAAACACATCATCCCGCTCTGTGGCAGGGAACATCACAAACAGCGTCTCTGGAACGTCAGGGCAGTTCACAGTCTGTTCCGTGTAAGTCCCAGGCCTCCTTCTCCGGCCCTGGCCGTGCTGCGGGGATGCTGTGAGTTGGACACTTGCTCTGGTGGTGGCCACACGCTCTCAGGCTCTAAGTGGCAGGACCCTTCTGCCCAGTGTCGCCCCCGCCCTGTCGGGGTTACGATCCAAGCCTGGCCTGCAGAGCCTCCTGGCTGAGGCGTCTCCCTGTGCGGGGCCCGCTGCCCAGGGTCCCCCTCGCTCTCCCCAGCTGCTCACTGCACCCAGCTCCGGACGGCTCCAGCCCCAGCTCCACCACTCGGTCTCTGCACGGCTGCTGCTGCTCTGCCTCCAGCTCCCTGGGCTGCTTCTCTGGCCCCTCTGGCTCCGGTTGCTGCAGCTCTGCTCCCAGGACAGGTCTGCTCTGCAGCCTGCTTCTGAGACTCTGCTCCCAGCACTGACCTGCTCCCTGGGCTGCTTCTCTGGCCCCTCTGGCTCTGGTTGCTGCAGCTCTGCTCCCAGGACAGGTCTGCTCTGCCGGCTGCTTCTGTGACTCTGCTCCCAGCACTGACCTGCTTCCTGGGCTGCTTCTCTGGCCCCTCTGGCTCTGGATGCTGCAGCTCTGCTCCCAGGACAGGTCTGCTCTTTCTGGGCTCCTTTTCTAGTCCCTCTGCATCTGGCCCAGCTCTGCTCCCCAGCTCAGCTCGGGCCCCTGCTTTCTCCTTAGCTTGGCCCCACTCTGTCTGACCCAGGCAAGTCCAGCTCACACGGAGGACGGGACCCCCCTGGCCTCCTGACTCCCTGATTAGCCTGCCCTGGAGCGTTGGCCTCTCCCCATTGTTCCTGGGGTCTATCAGTCTCAGGGTCCTGGTTTCCCATAGACCCTTCCCCCTTTTAGTACTGGGAGCTAGCTAACCAAAACACCCCACTGAATGTTAGTAAGGGGGCAACAATGGAAAACACGATCCCAAGCAAAGTTCCCTGTAAGCCCCACCGGAGCTGCAGTGGCCGGGGAGAGCTAGCCCCTCCCCGAGCCCAGCCCAGCCCAGCCTCGCCGGAACTGCTGCGGCCCCCCAGCCCCGAGCTGCTGTGGGGAGAGAGGGCTGGGGGGAGTCCTATCTCCCTGCTGCAGCCCTGGGGCAGCCTGCACCCCAAACCCCTCAGCCCCAGTCCCACCCCAGAACACCCAACCCTCTGCCCCAGTCCTAAGCCCCCTTCCATGCCCTGAACCCCGCATCCCCAGCCTCACCCCAGAGCCCGCACCCCCCAGCCAGAGCCTTCACCCCCCTGCGTCCCAACCCTCTACCCCAGTCTGAGCCCCTCCCACACCCCGAATCCCTTGGCCCCACCCCCACCACACATCACCTCCATACTGGTGCACATAACAAAATTCATTCTGCACATGAATGTAAAAAATTCGAGGGAACACTGATCCCAAAGATATATACAAAAAGATGGAGACTAAATTAGCTGTTACCAGTCAAGAAGGAAATCTTGGCGCTATTGTGGCAGAGGTGAATTAAGGTCTCCTGGGGCCCTGGGCCAGAGCAAGTGGGGACTGGCGCCAGAACGGTCACCCCACCCCTTCTGCCTGTGGTCCTGCCCCTGTTCTGCCCCTTCCCCCTGCCCCTGTTTTTCCCTCATGGGCCCATTGGATAATCCACCACGGCATTGTGGAGAGTTCTCTGAAAACAACTGCTCAATGTGCAGCAGTCAAAAAAGCAAAGGCAATTCTAGGAACCATTAGGAAAGGGACAGATAATAAGGCAGAAAATATCATAACAACACTATATAAATCCACGGTACGTACATATTGTGAATACTGCGTGCAGTTCTGGTCACCGCATTTCGAAACACCTGTTAGAATTGGAGAAAGCACAGAGAAGGGCAACATAAAACATTAGGGGTTTGGAACAATTTCCAGATGAGGGGAGCTTAGAAAGACTGGGACTGTTCATCTTAGAAAAGCGATGACTAAGAAAGGACGGCTGGAGGTCTATAAACCCTGACTAGTGTGGAGAAAACGCATAATGACATGTTATTTACTCCTTCACATAACACACGAATCACAGGTTCCCCAAACAACAGTAATAGCGAGAAGGTTTAAAACAAACATAAGAAAGTACTTCACACAGCGCATAGTCAATCTGTGAAACTCATTGCCAGGGGATGTTGTGAAGGCCAAAAGTATAACTGGGTTTAAAACAGAATTAGATAAGTTCATGGAGGACAGGTCTGTCAATGACTATTAGCCAAGATGATCAGGGATGCAACCCCATGCCCTGCATGTCCCTAAGCCTCTGACTGCCAGATGCTGGGACTGGATAGCAGGGGATGGCTCACTTGATAATTGCCCTATTCTGTTCGCTCCCTCTGAAGCAGGTGGCTCATGCCACTGTCAGAAGACAGGATACTGAACAAGATGGACTGACCTGCCATGCCATTCGTTATGTTCCATTTTGCGGATGGGGAAACTGAGGCAAAGAGTGGTTAAAGGCCTTATTTACAGTCACACAGCGAATCAGTGACAGAGCCAAGGCCAGAGCTCAGGAGCCCTGACTCACAGTCCTGTGCTCTAATCTCAAGACCGCCCTCCATCTCAGTTGTGTCAGCTGATCAACCCTGTGGATAGGTGGGCAGCTCAATAGGCTAGCAAAGCATTCTCAGCCCACATTGTTTTCCTGGGACAGTCCGCTTTACAAACAGACTCGCCACTATCCTGTCACATGCTATCCAGTCCCGGATGTCCTGCAGGGGCCAATACCAGATGGTCAGGGCTGGATTAACTCTCCTGTGGGCCCGGGGCTATTAGATTTTGTGGGGCCCCTGTATACTAGTCTTGTTCCTAATTTAAAACAAAATGATCACAATTATGGCATCGGGGCTATTAATGCTATCCTAAACTTGCCTTTTAATTAACATAAAGCCATTCTGTGGTTACATTTCAGTCTTAAAACATGTAGAATATAGTTAAGTTAATTCAAAATAGCCTACTTCTTACCTTAGAACCGCCGTTATATTAGTTTCTTTCTGGGAGGGAGTTTGGGTGCAGGAGAGGGCTCCAGGCTGGGGCAGTGTTGGGATGAGGAGAGAATCATTGAATCTCAGGGTTGGAAGGGGCCGCAGGGGGGTCATCTAGTCCAACCCCCTGCTCGAAGCAGGACCAATCCCCAATTTTTGCCCCAGATCCCTAAATGGCCCCCTCAAGGACTGAACTCACAACACTGGGTTTAGCAGGCCAGTGCTCAAACCACTGAGCTCTCCCTCCCCCCAAGAGGGTGAGGGGTGCAGGCTCCATCCGGGAGGCGCTTACCACAGGTGGCTCCCAGCCAGTGGTGCAGCAGGACTCAGGCAGGCTGCCTGACTGCCAGCCATAGCCCCACGCCGCTTCCGGAAGCTGCTGGCTGCTGGCACCTCTCTGCATGCCCCGGGGGGAAGCAGGACAGCGTGTCTCTGTGCACTGCCCACGCCTGCAAGCACCGCCCCTGCAGCGCCCATTCCCAGCCAACGGGAGCTGCAGGGATGGTGCTGGGGGCAGGGGCAGTGTGCGGAGCCACCTCCCCCACAGGGGCCGCAGAGATGTGCCAGCAGCAGGCCACTTCTGGGAGTGGCGTGGGGCCACAACAAGCAGGCAGTCTGCCTGAGGCCTGCTGCGCTGCTGGACTGTTAGCGGCCCGGAGATCACAACTGACTGGCAAAGGCTCCAGGATCGACCGTGATCCATGAGTTGGTGACCACTGAATTATATATAATTATGGATTTATTTTTGTGGGGCCCCCCTTAGCCCGAGGCCCTGGGCTGCACCCCCGAAAGCCCCTGTGTTAATCTGGCCCTGCAGATGGTTAAAAGGAGGATAACTGCCCCCACCCCCGCCCATGCCCACGAGTGCCTGAAAACACATCCCACCATACTTGTACATGAGGGGAGAGACATTCCTGTCTGATCATACAGGTGATTGAGTTATGGCCCAAAGCACAAAGGGTGAGCACCCCATCGTTATCAGCGCTTACAGAGCTGCAGTTCCAAGTGGCCTCCTTTTCAAAGTTCAGCCCTGCTGTTTGCCAACACAACCTCCTGTGGCAATGAGTTCCACAAGCTGCCTTCAGACTGCACAACCGAGCGTTAGCCCTCCCACCTACACTGCCACCTATGCCCAGGCTCTCACTGAGCTGGGGGCTGTGTTTGAGCCAAGTGCCCAGATGTGGTTGATTTGGGGGGTGTAGACAGGGCTGAAGTTAGAGGTGAAGGAGGCAGCTTTCAGTAAAAGGCATGTGTTTCTGTGTGTGAGAGACAGAGACATCCTGTGTGCACTGCAAAAATAACCATGTCTGAACACAGCTGCAGCCAAAGGATGTTGCACATGGTTTATTCTTGCCTGTGTGGACATGCTATAGCCTCGGTTAGAGCCTCGGTTTTTAGTCTACGTGCAAGGCAGGTCATAGCATGGTCTTTCGGACAGGAAATAACATGAAAAACAAACCTGCACAGAGAGCATCCATGTTAATATCAGGATGTCTGTGCAGAGTAAACAGGATCTGGGAGGAGGAGGGTCCCGGTGAGCAGGCGGAACGGGGAGTTAGCCCTGGTCTACACTAGGAGTTGAGGTCAAATTTAGCAGCGTTAAATCGATTTAACCCTGCACCCGTCCACACAACGAAGCCCTTTTTTTCGATTTAAAGGGCTCTTAAAATCGATTTCCTTACTCCACCCCCGACAAGGGGATTAGCACTGAAATCGGTCTTGCTGGGTCGAATTTGGGGTATTGTGGATGCAATTAGATGGTATTGGCCTCCAGGAGCTATCCCAGAGTGCTCCATTGTGACCGCTCTGGACAGCACTCTCAACTCAGATGCACTGGCCAGGTAGACAGGAAAAGTCCCGCGAACTTTTGAATTTCAATTTTCTGTTTGGCCAGCGTGGCGAGCTGCAGGTGAGTACAGAGCTCATCAGCAGAAGTGACCATGCAGAGCTCATCAGCAGAGGTGACCATGATGGAGTCCCCGAATCGCAAAAGAGCTCCAGCATGGACTGAACGGGAGGTACGGGATCTGATCGCTGTATGGGGAGAGGAATCTGTGCTATCAGAACTCCGTTCCAGTTTCAAAATGCCAAAACATTTATCAAAATCTCCCAGGGCATGAAGGACAGAGGCCATAACAGGGACCCAAAGCAGTGCTGCATGAAACTTAAGGAGCTGAGGCAAGCCTACCAGAAAACCAGAGAGGCAAATGGCCGCTCCGGGTCAGAGCCCCAAACATGCTGCTTCTATGATGAGCTGCATGCCATTTTAGGGGGTTCAGCCACCACTACCCCAGCCGTGTTGTTTGACTCCTTCAATGGAGATGGAGGCAACACAGAAGCAGGTTTTGGGGACGAGGAAGATGATGATGATGAAGTTGTAGATAGCTCACAGCAAGCAAGCAGAGAAACCAGTTTTCCCGAAAGCCAGGAACTGTTTCTCACCCTGGACCCAGAGCCAGTACCTCCCGAACCCACCCAAGATTGCCTTCCGGACCCCCCAGGTGGAGAAGGGACCTCTGGTGAGTGTACCTTTTAAAATACTATACATGGTTTAAAAGCAAGCATGTTTAATGATTAATTTGCCCTGGAATTTGCGGCTCTCCTGGATGTACTCCCAAAGCCTTTGCAAAAGGTTTCTGAGGAGGGCAGCCTTATTCCGTCCACCATGGTAGGACACCTTACCAGACCAGGCCAGTAGCACGTACTCAGGAATCATTGCAGAACAAAGCATTGCAGTGTATGTTTGCTGGTGTTCAAACAACATCCGTTCTTTATCTCTCTGTGTTATCCTCAGGAGAGTGATATCATTCATGGTCACCTGGTTGAAATAGGGTGCTTTTCTTAAGGGGACATTCAGAGGTGCCCATTCCTGCTGGGCTGTTTGCCTGTGGTTGAACAGAAATGTTCCCCCGTGTTAGCCACGGGGAGGGGTGAGGGGCTAGCCACGTGGTGGGGGGAGGCAAAATGCGACCTTGGAATGAAAGCACATGTGCAATGTATGTAATGTTAACAGCAAGGTTTACCATGAAAGAGTGTACCCATTGTTCTATAAAATGTGTCTTTTTAAATACCACTGTCCCTTTTTTTTTCTCCACCAGCTGCATGTGTTTCAAGGATCACAGGACCTTCTCCTTCCCAGAGGCTAGCGAAGATTAGAAGGCAAAAAAACCGCACTCGCGATGAAACATTCTCTGAGCTCATGCTGTCCTCCCACACTGACAGAGCACAGACGAATGTGTGAAGGCAGACAATGTCAGAGTGCAGGAAAGCACAAAATGACCGGGAGGAGAGGTGGCGGGCTGAGGAGAGTAAGTGGTGGGCTGAAGAGAGTGCTGAAGCTGAAAGGTGGCAGCAGCATGATGAGAGGAGGCAGGATTCAATGCTGAGGCTGCTGAAGGATCAAACTGATACGCTCCAGCATATGGTTGAGCTGCAGGAAAGGCAGCAGGAGCACAGACCGCAGCTACAGCCCCTGTGTAACCAACCGCCCTCCTCCCCAAGTTCCATAGCCTCCACACCCAGACACCCAAGAACGCGGAGGGGCGGCCTCCGGACACCCAGCCACTCCACCCCAGAGGATTGCCCAAGCAACAGAAGGCTGGCATTCAATAAGTTTTAAAGTTTTAAACTTTTAAAGTGCTGTGTGGCCTTGTCCTTTCCTCCTCCATCACCCCTCCTGGTGCTTCTCTCCTCCACCACCCCTCCCAGGCTACCTTGGCAGTTATCCCCCTATTTGTGTGATGAATTAATAAAGAATGCATGAATGTGAAGCAACAATGACTTTATTGCCTCTGCAAGTGGTCATCGAAGGGAGGAGGGGAGGGTGGTTAGCTTACAGAGAAGTAGAGTGAACCAAAGGTCGGGGGGTTTCATCAAGGAGAAACAAAAAGAACTTTCACACCGTAGCCTGGCCAGTCATGAAACTGGTTTTCAAAGCTTCTCTGATGTGCACCGCACCCTCCTGTGCTCTTCTAACTGCCCTGGTGTCTGGCTGCGCGTAACCAGCAGCCAGGCAATTTGCCTCAACCTCCCACCCCGCCATAAACGTCTCCCCCTTACTCTCACAGATATTGTGGAGCGCACAGCAAGCAGTAATAACAGTGGGAATATTGGTTTCCCTGAGGTCTAACCGAGTCAGTAAACTGCGCCAGCGCGCCTTTAAATGTCCAAATGCACATTCTACCACCATTCTGCACTTGCTCAGCCTGTAGTTGAACAGCTCCTGACTACTGTCCAGGCTGCCTGTGTACGGCTTCATGAGCCATGGCATTAAGGGGTAGGCTGGGTCCCCAAGGATAACTATAGTCATTTCGAAAAGGAGTACTTGTGGCACCTTAGAGACTAACCAATTTATTTGAGCATGAGCTTTCGTGAGCTACAGCATTTCAATATCCCCAACGGTTATTTTCTGGTCTAGGAATAAAGTCCCTTGCTGCAGCTTTTGAAACAGACCAGAGTTCCTGAAGATGCGAGCGTCATGTACCTTTCCCGGCCATCCCACGTTGATGTTGGTGAAATGTCTCTTGTGATCCACCTTGCAGCACTATTGAAAAGTACCCCTTGCGGTTTATGTACTTGCCGGCTTGGTGCTCCGGTTCCAAGATAGGGATATGGGTTCCGTCTATCACCCCACCACAGTTTGGGAATCCCATTGCAGCAAAGCCATCCACTATGACCTGCACATTTCCCAGGGTCACTACCCTTGATATCAGCAGATCTTTGATTGCGTGGGCTACTTGCATCACAGCAGCCCCCACAGTAGATTTGCCCACTCCAAATTGATTCCCAACTGACCGGTAGATGTCTGGCGTTGCAAGCTTCCATAGGCCTATTGCCACTCGCTTCTCAACTATGAGGGCTGCTCTCATCTTGGTATTCTTGCGCTTCAGGGCAGGGGAAAGCAAGTCACAAAGTTCCATGAAAGTGCCCTTATGCATGCGAAAGTTTCGCAGCCACTGGGAATCGTCCCAGACCTGCAAACTATGCAGTCCCACCAGTCTGTGCTTGTTTCCCGAGCCCAGAATCAGTGTTCCACCAAATGAACCTGCCCCATTAGCACCATGATGCCTACATTGCCAGGGCCCGTGCTTTGAGAGAAGTCTGTGTCCATGTCCTCATCACTCTCGTCACCGCACTGATGTAGCCTACTCGCCCGGTTTCGCTTTGCCAGGTTCTGGTGCTGCATATACTGCTGGATAATGTGTGTGGTGTTTAATGTGCTCCTAATTGCCGAAGTGATCTGAGCGGGCTCCATGCTTGCCGTAGTATGGCGCCTGTATGGAAAAAAGGCGTGGAACGATTGTCTGCCATTGCCCTGATGGAGGGAGGGGCGACTGATGACATGGCGTACAGGGTTGGCTTACAGGGAATTAAAATCAACAAAGGGGGTGGCTTTACATCAAGGAGAAACAAAAACAACTGTCACACCGAATGGCCCCCTCAAGGATTGAGCTCAAACCCCTGAGTTTAGCAGGCCAATGCTCAACCCACTGAGCTATCCCTCCCCCTGGTATTTCAGGCAGGACTTCACTGAGGGAGGGAGGGGGAGCAAATGAATACAAAACAAGTCTGGTCTATTTCTTGTTTTGATCCACTCCATCTATCTTTTGCATCTTTGGCTGGCAGCAGATGGTGCAGAAGGACTGCAAGCCATCCACATCTCATGGCTGCTTGGCAGAAGATGGTGCAATAGGACTGCCTGCAGGACTAAAGAATCATAAAATCATAGGATCATAGAATCATAGAATAATAGAGTTGGAAGGGATCTCTGGAGGCCATCTAGTCCAACCCCCTGCCCAGAGCAGGACCAATCCCAACTAAATCATCCCAACCAGGGCTTTGTCAAGCCTGACCTTAAAAACTTCTAAGGAAGGGGATTCCACCATCTCCCTAGGTAATGCATTCCAGTGTTTCACCACTCTCCTAGTGAAAAAGTTTTTCCTAATATCCAACCTAAACCTCCCCCATTGCAACTTGAGACCATTACTCCTTGTCCTGTCATCTGCTATCATTGAGAATAGTCTAGATCTATCCTCTTTGGATCCACCTTTCAGGTAGTTAAAAGCAGCTATCAAATCCCCCCTCATTCTTCTCTTCCATAGACTAAACAATCCCAGTTCCCTCAGCCTCTCCTCATAACCCATGTGTTCCAGTCCCCTAATCATTTTTGTTGCCCTTCGCTGAACTCTCTCCAATTTCTCCACATCCCTCTTGCAGTGTGGGGCCCAAAAGTGAACACAGTACTCCAGATGAGGCCTCACCAATATCGAATAGAGGGAAACGATCACATCCCTCAATCTGCTGGCAATGCCCCTACTTATACACCCCAAAATGCCATTGGCCTTCTTGGCAACAAGGGCACACTGTTGACTCATATCCAGCTTCTCGTCCACTGTCACCCCAGGTCCTTCTCTGCAGAACTGCTGCCTAGCCATTCGGTCCCTAGTCTGTAGAGGTGCATTGGGTTCTTCCGTCCTAAGTGCAGGACTCTGCACTTGTCCTTGTTGAACCTCGTCAGATTTCTTTTGGCCCATCCTCCAATTTGTCTAGGTCCCTCTGTATCCTATCCCTACCCTCCAGCGTATCTACCACTCCTCCCAGTTTAGTGTCATCCGCAAACTTGCTGAGGGTGCAATCCACACCATCCTCCAGATCATTAATGAAGATATTGAACAAAACCGGCCCCAAGACCGACCCTTGGGGCACTCTGCTAGATACCGGCTGCCAACTAGACATGGAGCCATTGATCACTACCCGTTGAGCCTGACAGTCTAGCCAACTTTCTACCCACCTTGTAATGCATCCATCCAGCCCATACTTCTTTATCTTGCTGACAAGAATACTGTGGGAGACGGTGTCAAAAGCTTTGCTAAAGTCGAGGAATAACATGTCCACTGCTTTCCATTCATCCACAGAACCAGTTATCTCATCATAGAAGGCAATTAGATTAGTCAGGCATGACTTTCCCTTGGTGAATCCGTGCTGACTGTTCCTGATCACTTTCCTCTCGTCTAAGTTCTTCAGAATTGATTCCTTGAGGACATGCTCCATGAAAAAGAATGACCTGGTCGAATCACTGTAGTCCCTGCACCCATATCTGCCCAGGCACTCCTGACCTACCTTACTGAGGCGGCCAGGAGCACCTGGGACATGATGAGGATGTTTTTCAGGCCTATTGCACTATCTGCTGCCACAAGGCAATGGGTTGCTGCTACTGTGTAGCAATGCAGTACCGTGCCTGCCAGCACTCAGGAGACATACGGTGACGGTGAGCTGAGCTCCATGCTTGCCATGGTATGGCGTCTGCACAGGTAACTCAGGAAAAAAGGCATGAAACGATTGTCTGCTGTTGCTTTCACGGAGGGAGGGAGGGAGGGAACGGGGGCCTGACGATATGTACCTAGAACCACCCGCGACAATGTTTTAGCCCCATCAGGTAGTGACTGACCATTTTACACGGTATGCACAGGCATATCCCACACGTGATCAGAGGGCCACCACCTTCGCTCGAGTATTGTGGGACAAATATTTCTCAGTCTATGGATTCCCGGCTCGGATACACTCTGATCAGGGCGGGATTTTGAGTCACCTTCTGAAGGAGGTGCTGAAGATAGCAGGAATTAAAAAGTCTAGGACAACGCCTTATCACCCCCAAGGTGATCCTCAGCCAGAGAGGTTCAACCGAACCCTATTAGATATGTTGGGAACTTTGCGACCAGAGCAGAAGGCAACCTGGAGCCAGCATGTCGCATTTCTGGTGCATGCCTACAATGCCACAAAGAACGATGCTACGGGAGTCACCCCATATCTCTTGATGTTTGGGCAAGATTACCCATAGATCTGCGATCTGCGTTCTTCCGAGCCGCAGCGGTAGCTAAGTGATAAGCATCCCACAGCTTTTCTCTTAGTCAGGATACATATTGCTGATGAGTTTCATAGCTATCTCCATCCTCTGATACACCAAAGCACAAGATTACCCATAGACTTTGCTTTGGTGTATCAGAGGATGGAGATAGCTATGAAACTCATCAGCAATATGTATCCTGACTAAGAGAAAAGCTGTGGGATGCTTATCACTTAGCTACCGCTGCTGCGGCTCGGAAGAACGCAGATCGCAACAAACATCGATATGATGCTAGAGTGCATTCGCAGGAGCTCCAACCGGGGGACAGAGTCCTGCTG